TTATTTGCTAAAGTTTTATGAAACTCAAACTGCAACTACTCATTTCATTTTTAAAATGAAAACATGCCAAACATACATGCCAGGGAGAAGAACCTCAACTCTTTATTATAGATTTTGTTCAGTAGAGTTGTAAATGATGTCTGTCCAGTGGTATGGTTTCTGGCCCCATTAGACACTAATCAGTTTTGTATATTACCTAGTAATGTAATAAATTGCAATTGATTTAATTAAATAAGTAATCCAGTCATCACTTTACTTAAGACTCTCTACTAATAATAATTCCCATTTCATCCAGAGTAAAATCAAAGTCTTTACAATGGCTGAAAGATTGCCTATGACCTTGGGGTGCTCCACCTCATTGCAGCACTGACCTTAGACTTTACTCCAGCCACTCTGACCTACTAGCCAGACCAAGTACATTTCTATGATAGGGCCTTTTCACTGGCTATTCCATCTGCCTGGAATTTCCTTCTAAATGAAGCCTTCACCTTCTTAAAGTCCTTGCTCAAATCTCACCTTCACAGTGAGTCCCATTGGAGCACCCTATTTATAATTGTAATGGCCACAGCACTCCGGTCACTCCCTTACCCAGTTCTTTTTTTTTTTTTTTTATGTGCATATATGTTTTTTTTTAAATTTTGTTTTATTGCTTAAAGTATTACAAAGAGTAGTACATATGTCTCCTTTTTTTCCCCCTTGAACTTCGCCCAGCCTCCCCTACCCCCCAGTGTCTGTGTCCATTGGTTATGCTTATATGCAGGCATACAAGTCCTTCAGTTGATCTCTTACCTTCCCCCCCAATCCTCCCCGGCCTTCCCACTGTAGTTGGACAGTCTTTTCGATGCTGCTCTGCCTCTGTATCTATTTTTGTTTATCAGTTTATAATGATGTTCATCAGTTTATTGTCCACTAGTGGCCCGGTGCACGAAATTCATGCACGGGGGAGGGGGTGTTCCTCAGCCCGGCCTACACCCTCTCCAATCTGGTACCCCTTGAAGGATGTCCTACTGCTGGTCTAAACCAGCAGTCGGATATCCCTCTCACAATCTGGGACTGCTGGCTCCTAACTGCTCACCTGCCTGCCTGCCTGCCTGCCTGATTGCCCCTAACCACTATGCCTGCTGGCCTGCTTGTCCCCAAATGCCTACCCCCACCAGCCTGGTCACCCCCAACTGCCCCCCGTGCCAGTGTGCTCTCCTCCAACTGCCTCCCTGCTGGCCTGCTCACTCCAAACTGACCCCCCACTGTCCTGATCACCTCCAACTGACCACCACTGATGGCCTACTTGCCCCCAACTTACCCCTTTGCTGGTCTGCTTACCCCCAACAGCACCACCCCCCACCAGCCTGATTACCCACAACTGCCCTCCCCTCTTGGCCCTTACCACCTCTACCTTGGCCCTGCCACCATGGCTTTGTCCAGAAGAACGTCCGGAAGGTCTCCTGGAAGGTCTCCCAGTCTAATTAGCATATTACCCTTTTATTAGTATACAGGCCTGGTGCACAGGTGGGGGCTGGCTCGTTTGCCCTGAAGGGTGTCCCGGATCAGGGTGGGGATTCCCTTGGGGAATGGGACAGCCTGGGTGAGGGGCCTGTGGTGGTTTGCAGGCCAGCCATGTCCCCATGGGGTGATGATCCCCACTAGGGTGCCTGGCCAGTCTGGGTGAGGGGCTGAGGGCTGTTTGCAGGCTGGACCAGCCCCCCAGCAGGGACCCTCACCCCATGAGGGTGTGGCCAGTTTGGGTGAGGGGCTGAGGGCCATTTTCAGGCTGGCCAAGCCCCCCAGTGGGGACCCTCACCCCATGGGGGTGTGGCCAGCCTGGGTGAGGAGCTGATGGCTGTTTTCAGGCTGGCCACGGCCCCCAGTGACCCAAGCTCCCAGCTCTTTTTTATTTTCAGTGTCTCCTTGAGCGGAGGGAAGCAGGTATCTGGGATTTATTTATCTTCTATAATTGAAACTTTTTAGCCTTGAGTGGAGCTCAGGGCCAGCAGGGCAGATGGGTAGCTTGGCTTCCTCCATCGCCAGGGGCAACACAAGCCTCCTGTTCACTCCAGCTCCGTGGCCACTGCCAACTTGGTTGGGTTAATTTGCATACTTGCTCCTGATTGGCTGGTGGGCAAGACTTGTGGGTGTGGCCTGTGGGTATCAGAGGTACGGTCAATTTGCATGTTTCTCTTTTATTAGCTAGGATAAATAAGTGAGATCATGTGGTATTTTTCTTTCATTGACTGGCTTATTTCACTTAGCAGAATGCTCTCCAGTTCCATCAATGCTGATGCAAATGTTAAGAATTCCTTCTTTTTTATACCAGCATAGTATTCCATTGTGTAGATGTACCACCGTTTTCTAATCCATTCATCTCTGATGGGCACTTAGGCTGTTTCCAGATCTTAGCTATGGAAAATTATGCTTCTATGAATATAGGGATGCATATATCCTTTCTGATTGGTGTTTTTGGTTTCTTGGGATATATCCACCCTGTTCTTTTTAACCCATGAAACTCATTACTTCTTGAAATTCAATTTTATTCATTTAGTTACTTATTTATTAAAAATTTTACTTGTTTATTGTCTAAGTAGTACATAAGTTCCATGAGGGTAGACTTTGATGTCTCCAGTAAAAAGAATATTCCTGGGACAAAATAGTTATTCAATGATGATGACTAAGAGGAAAACATGAAGGTTGTCCCACACATTGAAATGATGTTTGATAACTCAGAGAAAAGGAAGGGTTTCAGATGTCTTGGGTGCAAAGGACATCATTTCAAGGATGGGAAATTTTCACTTCCCAATAACTGAGGTAGAGCAGCGCTACCAGTGGAGAAGCTGCAGTGACATCACCTGCAGTCTCTAGCCTCTCTCTCAGGTCTTAGGGAAGCTTCATGTGCCTGTGGACCTCAGGTTCCCCTCAAAGTGCAGTCTGACAGAGGACTTGGCAATAAACTTGTGCCTGCATTACACCTGGGAGCTTGGTAGGAATGAAAACTCCCATCCCTTGAGGGTGGGGCCTGTGACTCTGCATTTTATTTATCCACCATTAAAGGAAAAAAAAACACACAACTGCTCTAATTTATGTACAAAATCAAGAGCATTTGTTTTCACAAAAAGTTCATATCCTGTGAGACTTTTAAAGACATGCCTTAAGGTTGCTTCATTCCCGGACGGAGGTGGGATAGACTTTCTGGGCAGTGAGGGATGTTCAGAGACCATCTGCTTGACTCCCAGTTTCTAGGAGGCTCTTTTCAAAACCTCTCCAGACACATGGATTTCAGAAAGCAATTAATGTTCAGGGTGAATGCAGTTCTGGGCGTTCCATGGCTGATTTTCAGCACACAATGTCTTCTCCCTCTGCCAAGAGTTTCTGAGGAAAAACCGAGTTGACTCAGAACAGATTGCCCAGTGACAGGAGTTATTTTGGCCATGCGAACTATCTGCAGATCCTGATTCCAAGCCAGGAAGACATGCTGCTTTTCTGATGTTGCCCAGGATATTCCTGTAGATTCTTGTTTCACCCTTGCAATCTCCATCCCCTAATCCCCATCCTGTGCCAATTTCTCAGTTAATTGGCAAATATTATCTCTGACATTTTCTGCTCTACACTCATACCATATCTTTTATGTATGTTTTTCTTTGTTGCATTTCTTCCCCACCTTTTTTTTGACAAACAAAATGTCATGTAAATATTCTTCAACTATAATCTTATTTGCAGCATTTTACTTTCTTTAATAAGATCCTGGGAAAATTCACTGATCTAATCTCAACAACCATGAACCTTTCCTTATTTTGGGTCTTCAATTTCTTCACTCCTTTGCCTCCATTCTATTTCTTTTTACCCATTCCTACTTCCTTTCACTTTTTTGGGTTAAACACCTTCTCTTTATCTTCACTATTCTCTTGTAATTCAGGGTCCCTTTTCTCCTGAACACCTTAGGCTTACAGAATATTGGAAGTGGCATGTCCTCAGAGAGCATCTGCTTCAATTTCTCTTTTTTTTTAAAAAAATATATTTTTGTTGATTTTAGAGAGGAAGGGGCAGGCAGAAAGAGAGAGATAGAAACATCAATGCTGAGAGAGAATTATTTATCGGCTGCCTCCTGCACACCCCCCACTGCCGATAGAGCCAGCAACCCAGTATGTGCCCTGACTAGAAGTTGAACCATTACCTCCTGATTCATAGGTCGACACTCAGCCACTGAGCCACACCAGCCAGGCCCATTTCTCCTTTTTAATGTAAAGGTGCTGAAGACCAGCAAGGTACCATAATTTATCAAAAGTTCACAGCTAGGCAAAGGCAGGAATGAGCTCCACCCTCTGACTCTGGGGTCAGGACCCCTTCATATCGGGCTCTCTGTTCTTTTGTTTCCCTGTCTCAGAGCTTACAAAGTGTCAGCTCAGGGCCCACATTTCACTCTTGGACAAGTTTTATTTGACCTGCACATACATAAAAAGTATTTGTTAATATTTAAAAACTGAGGATTTTTAAAAAGATATGAAGATAGACAGTGTAGTTAGAGGTCAAGAGCATGACTCCTGGAGTGGAGAGCCCCAGTTGTAATCCCGGTTAGGCTTCTTACTAACTGGGGACCGTGAAGAGTTAATAGGCCAACCCATCCTCCATTTTCTTCATCTATGAAGTGGGGTTGATAACAGTCCTTGCCTCACTGAGTTGTTAGAGAGATAAGTGGCCATGTATGTAGAGTGCGTAACAACAGTACCTAGTGCTCGGCAAGTGCTGTTTGTGTCTGTTGTCACCTACTTTTATGATCATGGTCATGCTGTGTGTTCTCACTCAGAACCAGGAGGCTTTTCCCATTTGTGTCCCATTTGGGGCTCCTCTGTCCTCCAAGCACCAAATCCCTGACTCTGAGTTCGCCATCCAGGCCTTTAGGAACAGTGACATTTTGAAAACTCACTATTATCTGGGGGGACAAAACTGCCTAAATCTTAAAAAGTGTTACATAATTTAATAGTAAAAAAATAAATGTTATTGTATTCTTTCAGATATGCAGAGGAATGCTGTGGTTGGAATGCAGAGCTGGGTGGTTGGTGCTAAGGCAGGGTGCTCCTAACTGCAGGTGAAGACTCATTAGTGGAAGGGGAAATCAATTCAGGAAGGTATGTCTAGATTACAAATAAAAAAATAAAATGGAATAGGATAGATATATTGTATTATTTTCTACACAATAAGGGCAAAAAATGTTTTGTGAAATCTTTTTCAATTGCATATTCATGTGTGCATTGGGATAGAATACAAATGCATTTCTTGCTGTGAGTCCTCATCAGAAAGTTAAGAAGCAATTGTGCTAGAAAATTTTGTATTTTAATAATTGCATGGGAAAAATTCTTAGCTGACATACAAATAGAATACTTCTAAGTTCCCTTTTGAGAAGACTCTTCTTTATTTTATTTATTTGTTTAACAAGCCACTCTGTCAAGATTCAGGGAAGTTTCCATTACCAGAGGATTGCATAAGAGACTTGTCATCCAGCAGATTTGTTGAGTTGATCTAATCATGACACATTCCCCACAATAATAATAACCTTGTACAATAATTGCTTTTACTGGTTCTTGTCCATGTCCATGAGGAAAGTTTGATATCAAGCATGGCTTATATTGTGAGTGTAGTGGAGAGGGTTTAGCTCTTAACAATTCTTCATTCTACCGCTGGGTGCAGTTTCCTCATCCCATTTCAGTCAGCACTTACCACCACCCACATCTGGCTACCTGGCAACAAACACACTAAACACACTCAAGGCGACGAGCTTTCATGGCATTTCCTATTCTTCCTTGTCACTCCAAGGCTGCCCTTTAAATTCACTGTAACTTGATTTCATCTTATAAAGTTTATAATATAAACAGAGGGAAGGAGATCCTGAAGAACTGTTAAGGTGGAACATGAGGCTACTTTAAGCTCCTATTCTCCAACATGAATCCCAAAGGCACACCATCAGATGAAACAAATTTGCCAACCATTCCCAAAATGGGTGTTTACTTTATATGAATGTACTATTCTATATGTATAAAAATATACTAATATGTATGTGATATGTTATATATTATAAAGCACAAGTGCAGAAGTAAAAGAGGATGAGATGAAATTAATCATATTTAAAGTAATTTTTAAATGATATAAGTAATTATCTTGACAGTAACAGCAATAATAGTATCTTTATTATCTTGAAACAATGTGATATTGAGAATCAAAGGTCTAGTTTCAAGTGTAGTTCAATACTTGGTTTTAGTGGCACAATGTTACAGGTTAAAAAGATAACTCGCATCAAATACAGATCCAAATGAAGAGTCTGTCCTTAGTTGTTATTGCTTTACCTGATGCTCACTTTTTAATCTTACATCAATTAGGCTAAAGTTTTATTGAAATTTAGTTTATATCCATTTTTCCCTTAGACAGCTAGCCATTTTTTAAAATTGATTTTTAGAGAGAGAGGAAGGGAGAGGGAGAGAAAGATAGAAACATCGATGAGAAACATCGACTGGCTGCCTCCTGCACACCCTCTACCTGGGATTGAGCCCAAAACCCAGGCATGTGCCCTGACCCGGAATCCAACCAGCAATCGTTCGGTGCCAGAAGTGATGCCCAACCAACTGAGCCACACTGGCCAAGCTATCAGTTATTATTTTAAAACTCATCAAAATGGATTCAGTACCTGCTGAAATACTTCACTTGAAGCATTTCTACCTGGGATAAATAACTCTGTTCTCATGTTTTAAAGTGTGCAGATATAAAAGTTGTTATAGGCATTGCACATTATTTATAGCAACACAAGCCCATGATGGTGGAAATATTTCTTAATATACACTCTCAGAATATTTTTCCCCTATAGCTTCTTTTGAAAATCCAGCCACTTTTCTCCCTTAGCATCGAAGCATCACTTTAAACTTGAAGAGACAGATTTTGTTCACTTATTTCGTTTAAAACTTATCTGCAAGGGTGCTTTCTACTGATTGTCACATTGTTATTAAAGCAAAGTCAGCAATTTTTTGCTGCTTGTCCTTAGTAAAAGAAAAATGGATATCTCATCAGTAAGTTTGGTATATTTTGATAAACTTACTGATGAGATACTTGGCTATGAAATAACCAGGGAAATTTCATGAGGTGCAGAAGATTTTCGTAGTTCCTCCTCATCTCATTACAAAGTATCACAGAGATCCTGTTTTTGTAAAATCAGTGGCATCAGTGACATTCTGTAGCACTTTGTGCACTTCTGTTTTATCTTCTTTGCTGTAATGGCTTATTTTTTAATGGGAAAGTGCATAATACCATGTGCTTTGCTCTCTCCATAACTTAGTTTGGAATTGTTATTTTTTATTACATTTCACTCCATCAATGGTTACCTTAAACTATTTCCATACATACATTAGACAAGTAATTTACTAAGTAGAATAAGCCTTCAAATACCTTTTCCTTTAGTTGCTCACTAGAAAATAAGTGCTTTATATATGTCATTATTGGAAAAAAATCTAGAATATACCATATGCATAAACATGTGAAGAGTATAGACAAGTATGCCTTTATCCAATTGGTAGTAAACTTCCTGTATTGGGTAATACTTATTTCTTTAAATCTGCAGTGGTTTTGAATCTTCCAATAGTATTTTCTGACAAAAGAATATATTTTAATTTGTAGCCATATTATTTTCCATATATTTTTTTCAACTGTTTTTACCGCAGGCAAGACAATATTTCCCAATGGTATATGATTTTTCTTTTGCCCGTAAGTAGTAAATTTAATATGTATTACATATTTAGGGAAATATTATAAATGCCTGGGCTAACTATTGTATAGTATTTTGAACCACTGCTAAATAAACTGTCCTGCAAGAGTAGTATGTATATTAGGAATTACAATGGCTTTTACACTACCATTAATTATTATTTCAAGATACAATATCTATGAAGGTCAAGATTAATATGTAAAGATAGTGAAATATAAATATATATTTCATCGAGTCTTCTTGATAATTTTGAATTATTTGGAATGAATTCTTATTTGGTTAAGTTAGCATTGCTTTTTTACCTCTTAATAAAGCTGACAACTTATGTTTTCTTATTGCCTGACATTATTTGAGGCAATTCTCTAAAATTTTTTCATAACCTTATTATGGAATTTGAAAAACACATACATAATAGAAAAGTATAATGAACCTGATGCACCTAATCACCCAGTTTTAGTAATTATCACTGCATGGTATATCATATTTCATCTATAGCATCCTGCTCAACCTCACCTCAAGTAGATTTTCAGACAACATATCATTTAATATATAGTATATATACAGATAACCTAAAGTATGTACCTCTAAAATTAATACTAAACACATAAAATTAATAATAGTTTAAAAACATTATGAAATACTCAGTGTTCATTTTCCCTATTATTTTATAATTTTATTTTTGAAGGTAAAAAAATGGGTGGAGGATACATTTTGGTAAGAGACTCTGCAGTACTTTCTGTTTAATTAGTTGAATGTGGGAGAAAAAGAGAGGAAGAGTTTGAAGATGAAATTCACTTTTTGGGGCAAGTGGGGATGTTGTATATTGAAATGAGGAAGGATGTAGAAGTTATTAGTGTGAGAAAATAAAGAGCTCAGTTTAAGGCATGTGGAAATATCAAGATATAAATAACAAGTTGAAGTTTGTATGAATAAGTTTGGAACTTAAAAGGGGGGCATGGCTTGGAGACATAAATTGGGGACTTGATATAACCTAAATAATATTTAAAACTATGCAAACAAGAGACAAATCAAAGAGAGACTAGAGAATAAGAAAATGAGAGAGCTCGGAACAAAGACTGGCCAGTCCTATCATCCTTAAGGAGAATGAGAAGAAGGGAACAGAGATAGAAAAAAAAATAAATAAATAAAAATAAATCAAGGTGTAGTGCAGTGGGAATCCCAAGAGAGAGAGGGCTCCAGAAAGTAGTAGAGGGTCAACAGTGGATGCTGCTGGGAGTTTTATGCAATGAGCATCCAAAAACCCCTCAAGCAGTTTGAGACCCTGCGGCTCCACTTGTGTAATTTCTGCTTTTAACTGAGTCACCTCACCTATCTGAGTCTGAATTTCATCACTGTAAAATGGTGCTTATGGAAAGATGGTGTTGGATGGTGGGAAAGGAAGGGGTGTGGGTTACAAGTGCCAGGCCTTTCATCCAGCACTGAGATGGCTAAGTTTGGGGAGAGGGTGAAGTCAGATGATCTCCTACCAACCTGAAAAATCTGTGATATTTAATCTCACTGACAGATGGAGAGGTTTCCGAGTCACTCTGTGAACTACCAGGTGCTAGGTAAATACAAGGTGCTGTTTCTGTTTACTGAGCTGTCAAAGAAACATCTTTGTCAAAGACACAAAACATCAAAGAGAATTTTTGTTGTGTCGTTGTTGGGGTAGCTATGGTTTAAGGCATACATGATGGTGGTGCCACGTAGAAGAAGCTGAAGACAGGATTGTCAAGGCTGTGATCCCAAACGTTAGTGCATCAGCACCTTAGGAGTTTAGAGGTCCCAGGGCTTTGAGGTGTGCTTGCTTGTGGAGTTATTAAGTGATAGCTGCTAAGAAATTTTGCCTTGTCCTTATACTGCAGAGCTATCTGGAAATTATGGGTAATCTGAAATACCCAGTTGGGTAGTCAGGTCAGGACCTTCAGCATGATTCTCAGAACCCTGCACCCCAGCCTCTGCCATATAATGCTGTACAGGGAGACAAAGGAAAGAAGAGAAAGAGCCCCATCTGCAGGTCCCTGCCCTGGGGACCATGTGGAGGGTCCCGCTGTGTGTAGTGCCTCCTGCAGCGAGAGACCATTGGGCTTCCAGGAGGGATCCCAAGCATTAGGGAAACCAACTCAGAGCTCTTGGGATTGGGAATTCAGCTAAGTGTGTTCCTCAAGTGCAGGAACATGACTGGGTTCTTACACAGAATCTTGCAATCAGCAAATGCTCAATAAATGCTGCTTAAAAAAGACACACACATACACACACACACACAGACTGACTTCTGCCACTCAGGCTGTATGCCTTAATGGGAGGCACGGCAACCCTTGCCATTGGCCTATGATTTCAGCTCTGTGGGATGATGTTGAAGATGCTGTCAATCATCCTGTCCCCTAAATTACTACCTTTCCGGATGATTATAATTCTTCTTTTGAAATTCCACCTTTTCCTAGGTCTTGTTCTCTGATAAAATACAAGTGTTGCAGGAGAGCAGAAATGCACCACCAGATTTTTATATCTTACTGCAATTGAGTTCTTTGGGTCTTTGCTGAGAGCAGAATTGGACTAGGAATACTGAGAAGAGAGAAAGTGGGAGTGATGGAGGGAGGGAGAAACTACACGGGTAATGGGAACTATTGGGGTAATGGGAGCTACACAAAATTTGATTTTGCACACTTTACACTTGTGTCTAGAGCTGGTCCTAATGGGTAGCCTGACAAAGCCAGTGTCCAAGGATGGCATGTATTGCCTCTTACTCACTTTTTCTTTTTTGTTCATTCCTTTATACTTCACTGTTAATAATACAATGAGTCAAATGCCATATACACAGTCACTTTGTTAATAGTTACACTTCGATGCATAAAGGGGATGCAGATAATGTTTTTAGTCTCACAACCTCAATTCCATGCAATCAATTGATTAGCACAGTAACATGACCAAACATGAAATACCCATGCTTTAGGTGACACATTTAATTAACAACATTCAGGCAAGCAAAGAAAGATAAGCATTCTGGTACCAGGCACTTAGAAAAGGGGCAGGGCGGGGAAATTTACAAAGCACTGCCCAGCATCTCGTCCATTAAACATACAATAGGCAGCATAGGGACAGGGGACGAGGTGGTTTGCGCCTGCCTGTAAGGTCACAAACCCACGCAGGCCCTGCTGAAGCCAGAATTAAGGTTAACTATGAGGTGATCACAGCTTTGCGGCTTCTGCACTCTTGAGGGCCTGGAAGCAAGAGAATGGACGGGTGGTAGGCATGTCCTCCCAGCATTTTCTCTGACATTCAAAGTACATCATATCTGTGACATTACTAAGATATAAGAATTTAATGGCCAAATTGAAAATAATTAATTCTGTGGTCAAGACCAAATCTTTAATATTAATCTTTACGTTGGGTATATGTGACAGCTTTTCCAAGTGTAATATTTCAAGAATTTAACTGAGAGACAGCTTTGTGACATCTCAAGGGCCCTGAGATGATGGAAAAATGTATTCTCTCTCCCTAAAAAGAAATATTTTTTAACTAAATTAGACCAATACAATATACTTGAAATTACATGAGGAAACTCAGTCAAATACAAATTAATAGCAATATTCTATTTACATACATACACTTTGAATTTCATAAAGGTGTCAGTCTACTTCAGAAAAGAACTTACACAGATTTGAAGCCAAGTTCAAAACAGAAACTTTCAGTCAGGGAAAAGGGGCAAGTGTAATAATTCTGTACATCTGCCAGTGACACTCTAGGTATTTTGTATTTCATTTATTGGGATTTACAAATTGGTTTCAATGCCTAGCACACCATCTGCAATAAGCCATGTGCCACATATCATTTTTATACACAAATTGTTTATTGTACTAGAAGGTTGTGTCTCAGAATATTATAAAGTAAAGGTTTTATCAATTACATTTTAAACAAATCTTTTGAATTTTGTCATTGGACAGCCATTGTCTTACTTTGATGCATTTAAATCTTTAGAAAAACCCATGGAAAGGACTCTGACTTACCCTAAATTGCAGGCTTCTAAACAGGTCATATCTTTGAACTAAATAAGAACTTGTAAAACTTCAGGAAATTATTAATTAAAAATAGTAACTAAAATATGTATAAAACATGGCACCCACTTCCAGCATATCTAAGTAAAATATACAGATGAGCACTAGATATTCAGGAGTAAATTTAAGCTTAAAAAAGGGGGAAATAATCTTTTGCACCGATATTCACCATTAACAAGAACTAAGAAGGTGTGCCTTTTACCTAAACAATTCCTTGTAAATCAACTAGCATGTTCCTCTCCCAGAGCGGAAGCAACCAAGTTGGTTGCCCTGTTTAAAAGAAAGCAAAATCTCGAAAGTGGCATTTTAAGGTTTGAAAATAAAACGACAGAAATTAAGGTTCAATAAAAATAAAAAGTTAAGCCAATGAGCAGAAAGTTTAAGGTACTAAATTTGACTAAAAAGACATTCCATCCTTTCCCCCAAATCCTTAATAACACGGGGCATACAAAGGGTTGGGACCGGAGCTATTAATACTTTACTCGGATCACTGGATATTGGCCAAACCAGGGTTCCAGGTACTGTGTAAGTCCTTATCCTAGAGTAAGCCCCTTGGAAATACAGTCCAGTAGGTACTTCAAAAATATTATAGCCGCCTCAGGCACCTTTAATCACAAACAAGAGGCCTGAGAACACTGGTTATACACGCCACCCCCATCAGGAAGTCACCAGGAGCACCAGGACGGGGCGGCGTCTGTGTGAGCTCGGATCCTCAGTGGCGGTGGTGGGTGCAGTTAAGTCCACCGGGCCACCTTGTCTGCAACCGGATGCCGACCTGGTGGGTCACCTGAATCATCACAACAGATGCAGGACGTCCTTCTTTTCATTTTAGGATACATCCTCAAGAATTGGAATCATGTTGACCCACAAACCTTAAAGAAAAAGCGCCTGAACTCTCTCTGCCCTCAGATGTGGCCTTGAATGCCAACTAGGAAATAGTAAAAACTACCCCCAGAGGGAAGGTTTAATCTTTTCAGTAGAATAAACGGGAAATACCAGGTAATTGAAAGTCCCATATGTCCAGGCTTTCTTTACTCTAGGGGACAAGCCAAAGGCAGGTGGGAAACTGTAAATTTAATCCTTTGCTCCTGGAAATAACAACTCAAGTCCACCGTGGGGGAGGGCAGAGGCCATGCCTCCCCCAGGACTACGCCAACCTTAACTTGCCCTAAGACAGATAAAGAATCTGGTCATACTTTAGCCCAGATCCTCTTCTCATCCCGGAACATGAGACAAACTAAAAGTAATTTAGGGAAGTTCTCAGAAAGACTCTGACAAATATGTGAAGGTCTTCCAAAACCTCATTCAAGTATTTGATCTCTCATATAGAGACATCATGCTCATATTACACCTGACCCTCTTAGCCACTGAAAAGCAAGATGTACTAGAAAATAAAGCACTGCCAATTCTGTATTACAGAAGGCCTCAAACGTGGTAAAACAAATTGCAGAAAATGGCTATTAGTTCCAAGAATACTTTAGAGAGCCTCCTGAAAATTGCCACCTCTGTGTTCTATAATAGAGACCAGGAGGAGGAAAAGAGGAGAAACAAGAGAGACCAGGCTAAGGCTGCAGAAATAAAGATCATAGTAGCCACACTTTGGCAAGTCAAGGGCCCCCAGTCGGAGACCAGAGGCAAACCGTCAGTCCCAGTCACCTGCTTCAACTGTAGACAAGTTGGACTTATGCACTGTAGTTGCCCCAATGGGTGTGGTGGACTCCAGAAGCACTGTTCTGCCTGTCAAGGAAACCACTGGAAGTCGGACTGCCCCTGGAGACTGAGGTCCCTTGGGTCAGGGCTGGCAACCAGTTGGCTCAAAAGGACTGTTGGGGCTCTGTATCTCCCAATCCGGCTCCTCAGAGGACTGCCATCTCCTCCCAGGAGCCCCGGGTAAGCCTGACAGTGGAGGGCAAGGAACTTAATTTTCTCCCCAATACTGAAGCCACCTTCTCTGTACTCCTCCCAAACCCAGGTAAATCATCCTCAGAGGCAGTAGCCATTACAGGCATGTCGGGGAAGCCAAGAAAGAGATCTTTTTCTCAGCCTTTAGGACGTAGCTGGGGTAAGTTCTTCCTTTCCCATGCTTTCCTGATCCTGCAAAAGGCCTTGCATTCACATCAGAAACACTATCCTCTCAAGCCTCAGGGTTGAGAGGGACTCAATATTTTAATAAGTCATCTATTTTAGAAGCCCAAGGTTTATTGAATCCTTGTCCTAGTCCTTACAATATCCCCATTTTAGGGATACAAGACACTAATAGAGGGGGAGGACTAGATCAGGACTTGTAACTCGTAAATAAGTCAGTGATTCTTATCCAGGCAATTGTCCCTAACCCTTAATGCTTTACTTGCCCAGATTCCAGAGGACACAGAATAGTTTATAGTACTAGATCTCAAAGATGTCTTTCTGTATACCCCTGCCTCCCAACTCACAGCTCTTATCACCTTAAAAGATCCCAATAATCAAAGCAGTCAGATAATATGGTCAATACTGCCCCAGGATTTTAGGGAATAGCCCTCATTTATTTAGACAGGCTTTTAAACAGCCCAAAAGGCTCTTTTATAGGCAGCATCGACTCCTAGATTCGTCTGTTTCCAGTGAGCCTTGAATGCCAGCACAGGAGGAGGAAGCTGCATTGCCATCATTTAGATCACGAAATTTCTACTCATGTGAGCCTCTATAGGACCTGAAACTTCTCTTTCAAAGGGATCCTGGAAAGTCAATGAGTGCCAGATAAGTAACATTCTCTGGTATTTCTAGATAAACAATGTTTTCATTTTAAAAAATAATTCTTATTCTGTCTTTTTATAAGTGTCATCTAAACCCTAAGCTGGCACCTGGAGGAGACCTTATCTGCCCTTGCTGGGACCCAGAAACCCCGTGAGATGCTCCCACTTATAACTACCTTTTTTGTATCCATAATGTAGCAAATTTTCAGCCATACTGGCTCCTCAAATCCCTAACTACTAAGTATGTTATAAGCGTGAGAGTGAACCAATGATCTTTTCTATCAAAGAAAGGGGCTTGCTGCCATCTTAGATCTTGCCATTTTGATATGACCTTCAGATTCTTCAGGGGGCCACCATCTTAGGGTCTTCGATCTTGGTATGACCTTCAGGCTCTCAGGGGGGGGGGGCTGCCAGCTTAGGTTCTGCCTCACCTTCCCCTTCCTCTGAATTAGCCAATTGGGCAATAATGGGAATTGGAGCTCTGAACCCTGGCCAATCAGATTAGAGTTCAGAGTGAGTGGCAGAGCAGACCCCGCATCAGGAAATAAAACCCGAATGGACACCCTGTTTGGTGTGCTTTTGCCCATGATATTCAGCTGGCAGGAGCACCATTCTGTGCAGAAGGAAATTTGCCTTGCTGATCCAGTTTTGAGTGTCTCATTCTTGCAACATTGTTGAGAGCATTTCTAACATTTTGGGGGCTCATCCTGTATTTAGCCGCTTGAAAGGGTCATTTGGACCCCCACTCCCTAGAGGAGGAGCGCTCCACCGTCTCCTTATGGTGGCCTCTGGGAGAGGAAGGCCTACCACACTCTGAGCTGGCAACAGATTCTGGATCAAACGTAAATTGGCAACATAGGGAGGGGCCCAGGAAACCATGGAGACCAAACCATTCTGTGCACAGACCAAGGTAGAAAGTCTTCAGAGAGAAGTAAGTAGTGCCTTGGAGGTCAGGACATCCCAGAGGTTGTGTGTGTGTGAATGAGATGTGTGCAGGACACGAAGTGAGTGTGGAGCCCCCATCCGAGGCTCATAGCCAGAGGTGGACGAAGCAACTCAGAAGAGGAATGCAAGAAACCTCTAAATTGGGGGGGTTGAGCCTCTAGTAGACACACAGTTAAACCGTAGGGATGGGCAACAAAAATTCTATTGGAACCATAACAACATGGACCATAGAGGGCACATGAGAGACCTTAGGGAGCTAATCATTAAAGGAATTAGGGAAGCAGTTTCCCGGTCTCAGAACCTAAATAAAGCCTTTAATATTCAACAAGGCAGAGAAGAAGGGCCGTCCGAATTTTTATCAAGACTAAAAGATCAAATGAGAAAATACTCTGTGTTAGACCCTGAGGACCCATTGGGTCAAGGATTATTAAAATTATATTTTGTCACTAACAGTTGGCCTGACATTTGAAGAAAATTACAGAAATTGGGAAATTGGAAAGACAAAAGCTTAGAGGAACTATTAAGAGACGCCCAAAAGGTATATGTAGATAGAGATGAGGAGAAACAGAAACAAAAGGCTTAAATAATGCTCACCACTATGGAACAAGTAACCCAGGAAAGGACTGGCCCTAAGAGCCAAAAACAGAGACGACCACAATGGGGGCTCCCTAAGGGAAGAGGAGCACCAGGGCTACAGAAGGGAAAAGGAAAGAATAAATGCTATAGATGTGGGGAGGAGGGACACTTCAAGAGAGAATGCCCAGGATTAAAGAGAGAGGAGAGGGTAGTACCTCTCATGACTTTTGATGAAGACTAGGGAAGTTAGGGGCTCTTTTATGTTGAAGGGTCCTACCTAGAGCCCTTGATAAATTTGGAAGTAGGACCCGATAGGGAGGAAGTAATGTTTCTGGTTGACTCAGGGGCGGCCTGTTCCTCTCTAGTATATCACCCCACATCCCTGAGCCTATCCAATGTACGTTTACTAGTTTCAGGAGTGAAGGGTGAAGGCTTTAATGTATCCATCTTCAAGGAAACACAAGTCATGTACAAAACCTGGCAGGCTCAGACAGAATTCCTTTTTGTACCTGAGGCCGAGACCAATCTCTTTTTTTTTTTTTTAATTTATTGCTTAAAGTATTACAAAGGGTATTACATATGTGTCCATTTTATCCCCCCGCCCTAGACAGTCCCCTAGCCTCCCCTATCCCCCAGTGTCTTAAGTCCATTGGTTATGCTTATATGCATGCATACAAATCCTTTAGTTGATCTCTTACTCCCCTACCTCCTGCCCCCCAACCCTCCCCGGCCTTCCCGCTGCAGTTTGACAATCTGTTTGAGGAAGCTCTGCCTCTATATCTATTATTATTGAAAAGTTTATAATGGTCTCTATTATCCATGAATGAGTGAGATCATGTGGTATTTTTCCTTCATTGACTGGCTTATTTCACTTAGCATAATGCTCTCCAGTTCCATCCATGACGTTGCAAATGGTAAGAGTTCCTTCCTTTTTAGAGCAACATAGTATTCCATCGTGTAGATGTACCACAGTTTTCTAATCCATTCATCTACTGATGGGCACTTAGGCTGTTTCCAGATCTTAGCTATGGTGAATTGTGCTGCTATGAACATAGGGGTGCATATATCCTTTCTGATTGGTGTTTCTGGTTTCTTGGGATATATTCCTAGAAGTAGGATCACAGGGTCAAATGGGAGTTCCATTTTCACTTTTTTAAGGAAACTCCATACTGTCTTCCATAGTGGCTGCACCAGTCTGCATTCCCACCAGCAGTGCACAAGTGCTCCTTTTTCTCCACATCCTCTCCAGCACTTGTCGTTTGTTGATTTGTTGATGATAGCCAGTCTGACAGGTGTGAGATGGTACCTCACTGTTGTTTTGATTTGCATCTCTCGGATGATTAGTGACTTTGAGCATGTTTTCATATGTCTCTTGGCTTTCTGAATGTCCTCTTTTGAAAGGTGTCTATTTAGGTCCTTTGCCCATTTTTTGATTGGATTGTTTATTTTCCTTTTGTTAAGTTGTATGAGTTCCCTATAAATTTTGGAGATTAGGCCCTTATCAGATATGACATTGGCAAATATGTTTCCCACACAGTGGGTTTTCTCGTTGTTTTGTTGATGGTTTCTTTTGCTGTGCAGAAGCTTTTTATTTTGATGTAGTCCCATTTGTTCATTTTCTCTTTAGTTTCAAGTGCCCTAGGAGCTGTATCAGTGAAGAAATTGCTTCGGCATATGTCTGAGATTTTGTTGCCTTTGGATTCTTCTAGAATTTTTATGGTTTCCTGTCGTACATTTAAGTCCTTTATCCATTTTGAGTTTATTTTTGTGTATGGTGTAAGTTGGTGGTCTAGTTTCATTTTCTTGCATATATCTGTCCAATTTTCCCAACACCATTTATTGAAGAGACTATCTTGGCTCCATTGTATGTTCTTGCCTCCTTTGTCAAATATTAATTGAGCATATTGGTTCGGGCCGATTTCTGGGCTCTCTATTCTATTCCATTGATCTATATGCCTATTCTTGTGCCAGTACCAGGCAGTTTTGAGAACAGTGGCTTTGTAATACAACTTGATATCCGGTATTGAGATCCCACCTACTTTGTTCTTTTTCAGGATTGCTGCAGCTATTCGGGGTCTTTTTTTATTCCAGATGAATTTTTGGAGAGTTCGTTCTAGATCTCTGAAGTATGCCGTTGGTATTTTAATGGGAAGTGCGTTGAATTTATAGATTGCTTTGGGTAGTATGGACATTTTAATGATGTTGATTCTACCAATCCATGAACACGGTATGTTCTTCCATCTGTTTATGTCTTCCTCTATCTCTTTTTTCAACGTCCTGTAGTTTTCTGAGTAGAGGTCTTTTACCTCTTTAGTTAAGTTTATTCCTAGGTAGCTTAATTTTTTTGGTGCGATGGTAAACGGGATTTTTTTTATAATCTCTCTTTCTGCAAGTTCACTATTGGTGTATAGAAATGCCTCAGATTTCTTGGGGTTAATTTTGTATCCTGCTACATTGCCAAATTCATGTATTAAGTCTAGTAGCTTTTAGATGGAGTCTCTAGGGTTTTGTATGTATAATATCATGTCGTCTGCAAATAAGGACAGTTTTACTTCCTCTTTTCCAATTTGGATGCCTTTTATTTCTTCTTCTTGCCGAATTGCAATGGCTAACACTTCCAGTACTATATTGAACAGGAGTGGTGAGAGGGGGCATCCCTGTCTTGTTCCTGTTCTTAGGGGAAATGGTGTTAGTTTTTGTCCATTGAGTATGATGTTGGCTGTGGGCCTGTCATATATGGCTTTTATTATGTTGAGGTATGATCCTTCTACTCCCACCTTGCTGAGAGCTTTTATCAAAAATGGGTGTTGAATTTTGTCAAATGCTTTTTCTGCATCAATTGATATGACCATGTGGTTTTTTTCTTTCAATTTGTTTATGTGATGTATCACGTTTATTGATTTGCGGATATTGTACCATCCTTGCATCCCTGGGATAAATCCTACTTGGTCATGGTGTATGATCTTTCTGATGTACTGCTGGATCCGATTTGCTAAGATTTTGTTGAGGATTTTGGCATCTATGTTCATGAGGGATATTGGCCTGTAATTCTCTTTCATTGTGTTGTCTTTACCTGGTTTTGGTATTAGGGTGATGCTGGCTTCATAGAATGAGCTTGGAAGTGTTCCTTCCTCTTGAATTTTTTGTAGTAGTCTGAGGAGGATAGGTTTTAGTTCTTCCTTGAATGTTTGGTAAAACTCCCCTGTGAAACCGTCTGGTCCTGGGCTTTTGTTTGCTGAAAGCTTTTTAATGACTGCTTCAATTTCTTCCATAGTTATTGGCCTGTTGAGATTATTAGATTCTTCCTGATTGAGTTTTGGAATGTTGTATTTTTCTAGGAATTTGTCCATTTCCTCCAGGTTGTCTAGTTTGTTGGAGTAGAGCTGTCCATAGTATTTTTTAACAATCATTTGTATTTCTGTGGGGTCTGTTGTTATTTCACCTCTATCGTTTCTGATTTTGTTTATTTGGGTCCTCTCTCTTTGCTTCTTGGTGAGTCTGGCTAGAGGTTTGTCAATCTTGTTTATCCTTTCAAAGAACCAGCTCTTGGTTTCATTGATTTTCTGTATTGTTTTTTGGCGAGACCAATCTCTTAGGTAGGGATTTAATGACATAATTAGGAATTGGACTAATAATTGGGCATAAGAAAATTCAGTTCTCCTTTAACCTTTTGTCTACCAAAGAGGAGGAGAAGATCCTCCCTGAAGTCTGGGCCAGGGAAGGAAACTGGGGAGGGTTAGATATTCCCCCAATTCAGGTTGAGTTAAAGAACAAAGGGGAGTCAGTCAGGAGGAGACAATACCCAATCCCATTAGAAGGGAGAATGGGGTTGCAACCAAGTATAGAAGGCTTGTTATGGAATGGTCTCCTTGAATCTTGTATGTTCCCTTTCAACACCCCTATTCTGTCAATAAAGAAACCAGATGGATCTTATAGACTAGTCCAAGATTTAAGGGCAATCAATCAGATTGTTCAGAATAGACACCCTGTAGTTCCAAATCCATATACTCTTCTCAGCAAAATACCTCATGATCATTGCTTGGTTCAGTATAATTGATTCAAAAGAAGCCTTCTGAGCTTGTCCTCTGGCAAAGGAGAGTAGAGATATTTTTGCTTTTGAATGGGAAAATCCTATTACTGGGAGAAAACAACAGTATCACTGGACGGTTTTGCCTCAAGGGTTTACAGACTCACCCAATCTGTTTGGGCAGATTCTTGAGCAAGTCCTCTCTCAATTAGACTAATCCAGTATGTAGATGATCTATTGCTTTCTGGAATTAACAAAGGAGAAGTTATTGATACTACTATAGGTTTACCTAACTTCCTAGGTCAACATGGTTTAAGGGTCTCAAAAACAAAGCTACAATTTGTGAAAAAAGACGTAAAATATTTGGGACATTTAATAAGTGAAGGGAAGAGACGATTAAGTCCAGCAAGGATCTCAGGGATTACTAGCATGCCACTCCCAAATACTAAAAAGGAACTTAGAAAATTCTTAGGACTAGTGAGATACTGTGGGTTATGGATTGATTCTTATGCATCTAAAACTAAGGGACTGTATCTCAAACTTTTGGGTGAGGAACCGGATCCCCTTCTTTGGAAATCTGAGGAGATGCAGTTAATAGAAGCTCTCAAAGAGGCCTTAATTACTGCCCCAGTGCAGGTGTTACCCTCATTGGAGAAATCATTCCATTTATATGTTAATATGGATAAAGGAACCACCCTAGGAGTTCTAACCCAAGAGCAAGGGGGGAAAAACAGCTGGTTGCATACTTGTCTAAACTACTGGATCCAGTTACTAGACAATGGCCTGAGTGCTTTCAGTCTGTAGCGGCAACCGCCCTATGAACTGAAGAAAGCAGAAAGCTGACCTTTGGGGAGCATTAATCATCAGCACTCCACATCAAGTTAGAACCATCCTCAATCAAAGGGTAGGCAGGTGGCTAACTGACTCCCAGATACTATAATATGAGGCCATTTTATTAGAAAAAGATGATCTGGTACTTATTACTGACAGCTGTCTAAATCCTGCTGAATTTCTAACTGGAGTAGGGGCATTGGGTCCTGTTGAACAACATTGCGTGGATCTCATAGACTACCAAACCAAAGTCAGACCCGACCTCAGGGAAACCCCTTTCTCCACAGGGCTTAAACTCTTTGTAGATGGTTCCTCCTGAGTGCTTCAGGGGAAAGGCACAATGGATACTCTGTTGTAGATGGGGAGCAATCCATGGTTGTAGAATTGGGGAGACTGCCCAATGGGTGGTCTGCCCAGACATGTGAATTGTTTGCCCTCAATCAGGCTTTAAAAATTTTAAAGGGAAAGGAGGGAACCATCTACACAGACTCAAAACATGCCTTTGGAGTAGTACACACTTTTGGAAAAATCTGGACTGAGAGGGGCCTTATTAATAGCAAGGAATGAGATCTAGTACACAAGGAATTAATCTACCAGGTATTAGAGAGTCTAATGTTATCGGAAGAAATAGCAGTAGTACATGTGCCTGGGCATCAAAAAGGTTATTCCATAGAAGTCCAAGGAAACAGATTAGCAGATGAGGCTGCTAAGGAAGCAGCCCTCCAGCCTGAAGCCCCGATATTTCATCTCACTCCTGTCCTTTCCCCACTTGCTATCCTGGTTTTCACCCCACAGGAGGAAACACAGCTAGCCAAGATAGGAGCCTCCAAAACCCCTGAAGGGAAGTGGCTCTTACCAGATGGGAGGGAAATGCTTCATTATGAGGGAATTACTAATCCAATTGCATAAAGGAAGTCATTGGGGCCCACAGGCCATGTGTGATGCTGTTCTAAGAGCCTACGGGTGTGTGGTTATGTATACTGTCACAAAGCAAGTTAATGAGAGTTGTATTGCAGGAAAGTGAACAAGCAAGCACTGAGGAAACAATTATCAGGAGGGAGGAATCCAGGCTTAAGACTTTTTCAGAGTATCCAGGTGGATTATACTGAGATGCCTAAAATAGGTTGCCTCAAATACCTCCTAGTAATAGATCATTTGACCAATTGGGTTGAGGTCATTCCACTACAGATTGCTACAGCCAGTAATGTAACTAAGGCACTTTTAGAAAATATAATTCCTCGCTTTGGATTGATTGAGAACATAGATTCAGGTAATGGGAGCCATTTTACAGCCACCATTATCAAGGAACTAATGAAAATCTTGGGAATGAAATGGGAATATCATACACTCTGGCACCCACCCTCCTCAGGCAAAGTAGAAAGAATTAACCAAATTCTGAAAAGATATATTACCAAATTAATCCTAGAAACTAAGCTTCCATGGACAAAATGTCTCCCAATTGCTCTTCTCAGAATTAGAACAGTCTCCCGTAAAGACATTGGGATATCCCCTTATGAGATGATTAATGGATGACCTTATTTAGATTGAAATTCTGACCTGCCAACCATGGAGAAAAAGGATCAATTTCTTTTTTAAAAAAATATATTTTATTGATTTTTTACAGATAGGAAGTGAGAGGGATAGAGAGTTAGAAACATAGATGAGAGAGAAACATCGGGTCAGCTGCTTCCTGCACACCTCCTACTGGGGATGTGCCCACAACTAAGGTACATGTCCTTGACCAGAATCGAACCTGGGAGCTTTCAGTCCCTAGGCCAATGCTCTATCCACTGAGCCAAACCGGTTAGGGCAAGGATCAATTTCTTAAAAACTATATATTGTGCCTCTCCTCTACTTTACTCTCTCTCAGCTTACAGGAACTACTTGCCCAGACTCCACCTCTTGAGTTCCCAGTACATCCTTACCTACCCAGTGATCATGTCCTGATCAAGACCTGAAAGGAGGACAAACTTGAGCCAGCCTGGGAAGGACCTTATCAGGTGCTCTTCACAACTGAGACGGCTGTCTGCACCGCAGAGAAAGGTTGGACCCACTACACTCATACCATGTGGTCATACCATGTGGTAGTCTTGCCAGCCAAAGACAACTTTCCGCCGAACATAAGTACCTTTGCCCTTCTCTAGAGAGAGACCCCCCTTGCCCTTTCTGGAGTATGGTATGGTGGACTACTCAAGCACAATGGGTGGGCAGCTCCAACATACAAATATGGTCAGTGGGGAGCCCTCTCAGTGGCTCCTTGGCTGGCATCACAAAGGAGTCTAATATCTCTAGTACAGGGGACTCCACCTCACGACTGTCAGAACTTACAATGTAATCTGCTTCTATTAACCCTTAAACCAGGAAGTAAATTAATCTTTCCACAGTGGTTTGGTCTTGGTGCAGACATATCAGGCAGAGACCCCATAGGAACGTTAGGCATCCAATTTGTTACCCAGCCAAAGCCCTTTCTGAATCCTAGTTCCCCCAGTCAGAGTCCTAACTAGGTTGAACCAATAAGTCATAACCAATTCCTCAACTCCAGTAATGACCCTAACAAAGTCACCATAGTAGAGGTTAAGGACCTTCACCAAACTATAAAGATTGAGGTTGGATATGGGGAGGCAAATGCTTGGCTGGAATAGATTAAATATTCTGTCCACACTCTAAACAAAAGTGACTGTTATGTTTGAGCGGCAGGGAGGCTGGAAGCTCAAGTAGTGCTGTTTCCACTTGGATGGATCTGGGACACTGTGGGCATGGAATGCTTGATAGCCCTCTTTCAGGACAGCCAAGCCTGAGGCAATGAATCTTGTAGGACCTTTTCACTGCTGTTCCCAACTGCAAAAGGTCCAAACAAGGTCTCCTAAAATGGTCAAGCCCCCAGCCCGGAATATTAACTACACCTCATGCCTCTCCAGATGGGGGGAGCAGTCAGCATTTCTGGAAATGTGACTGAGTTCAATGAAGGCCAGTCCTTTGAGGAGCTAAGTAATCAGTCTACACTGACTGTAGCCACAGCAGACATCTAGTGGTATTGCAGAGGGCCATTGCTTGAGACTTTACCAGCCGATTGGAGTGGAACTTGCACTCTAGTTCAATTGGCCATCTCTTTCACCTTGGCATTTCAATACCCTAATCCAGGGGTGAGCAACATGGCATGCCAGTAACTTTTGCTGGCACGCGAAACCCTCTCTTAAAATCTTCCATTTACAATTTTTGTGAACATTTGAATGACTTAAATGTTAAATTACAAGGAACTGACAAGACACTTGATGTTATGTTTGGTTACATAAAGGCTTTTGAAAAGAAACTAGAAGTCTTTAAGAGGGATGTGGATGGTGATTTAGATATTTCCCAAACCTCAAGAAGCACATCAAAGACCTCCCAAAAGATGACAGAACAGACTGTCAAAGCCTTCAAAAGCTGTTTTTAAACATCATCAAGTCAACTATTGAGCAGTTCTTCTCAAGATTTGCGAAATTCAGAGAACTGGAAGAGACTGCAAAATTCATGAAGACAGCATGAAACTGGAGGAACTAAACTTACAAATGTTTTCATGGATAGACATGGCTGACTTTGAAATGCAGTTGATTGAATTTCAGAGTAGCTCAATTTGGAAACAGAAATTTATTGACCTTAGAGTTGACTTGAAAAACATTGGAAAAAAGCAATTAGAGACAGGAGTACCAGAGAGAAGTGTTGAAAACGAACTATTGAGGACTTGGAATGCCATTCCAGAAATTTTTTTCTGTTTAAAAAACTTTACAACAGCGTTACTCTCCATGTTTTCATCCACATATGCTTGTGAATCTTTGTTCTCAGTGATGAGTTTTGTTAAGTCTTGTAATAGGAGTAGCCTGACGGATGAAAGTAGTAGCTAGTGCATATCTCTGAAGGTCACTAAATATAAACCTGATGTAAAATCTCTGTCATCAGTGATGCAGCAGCAAAAGTCCCACTGATAATATCAAACGGAGTCATAAAGTTTTCTGTCGGACTATCAGTGTACATGTATACATTAAAAAATAAATGTATTTTTCATCATCATTTTCTGTGTTTTTGTTGCTCAAATGAATTTTATTATTTCTTCAAGGTTCTTCACATACATACACCTTAAGAGATATCACGTAGGCATAGCATGTTCTCAAAAAATTAGGGTTGGCACACAGGAAAATTTTGAGTCAGAGATTTTGCTGGTTTTGGCACACACTCACAAAAAGGTTGCCCACCCCTGCCCTAATCCTTCCTCTAAGGGGACCATACATAGAGTCAGAAGAGATATCCTTACCACCCCCAGGGGTTCATTTGACCCACATATATACATTGATTCCATTGGGGTCTCTAGGGGTGTCCCTGATGAGTTTAAAGCTAAGAATCAAATAGCAGCAGGATTTGAATCTGTATTATTCTGGTGGTCCACTATCAACAAAAATGTAGATTGGATAAACTATATTTATTACAATCAGCAGAGGTTTGTCAATTATACCAGGGATGCTATTAAAGGAATAGCTGAGCAGTGAGATGCAATCAGTAGAATGACCTGGGAGAACTGGCTAGCTTTAGATATGGTTCTAGCAGAGAAAGGGGGCGTATGTGTAATGATAGGAGGCCAATGCTGTACATTTATCCCTAACAACACAGCTCCGGATGGAACTATCACTAAGGCCTTACAGAGATTGGCAACTTTGGCTAATGAGTTAGCTGAGAATTCTGGAATTGAGGATCCTTTTTTCGATCTACTAGAGTAATGGTTCAGGAAGTGGAAGGGAATGATGGCCTCTATACTCACATCCTTAATAACTGTGTTAGGTGCTATGACAGTAATAGGATGTTGCATTATTCCATGTATGAGAGGCCTTATCCAAAGGTTAATTGGGACTGCATTAACCAAACAAACCCCAGTAGCATATCAGCAGAATAATCTCCTTCTCCTAGATCCATGGTCGGCAAACCGCAGCTCACAAGCCACATGTGGCTCTTTGGCCCCTTGAGTGTGGCCCTTCCACAAAATACTGGCTCTTCCACAAAATACTGACTTCTGCGCATGGGCCATGAAGTGCGATTGAAACTTCGTGGCCCATGCGCAGAAGTCAGTATTTTGTGGAAGAGCCACACTCAAGGGGCCAAAGAGCCGCATACGGCTCGCGAGCCGTGGTTTTCCGAGCCGCAATTTTCCGACTACTGTCTTAGAACCTACAGAACATGAAAGTCAAAGACTGCTAGTCAAATTTGAAGAAAATAGTCAAATAAAAAAGGGGGGGGATTGTGAGAGTGAATCAGCCATCTTTTCTGTCAAAGAAAGGAGCTTGCCGCCATCTTAGGTCCTGCAATCTTGGTATGACCTTCAGACTCTCAGAGATTTGCCATCTGAGGTTCTGCCTTACCTTCCCCTTCCTCTGAATTAGCTAATTGGGCAATAATGGGAATCAGAGCTCTGAAACCTGGCCAATCAGGTCAGAGTTCAGAGTGAGGGGCAGGGCAGACCCCGCATCAGGAAATAAAACCTGAACATTCTTTTTTTTTTTTTCTTTTTCTTTTTTTCTTTCTTTCTTTTTTTTGGATAGTGTTAATATTTTATTATTTTTTAATGAAATCTTTATTGTTCAGATTATTACATTAGTTACTCTTTTTTCCCACCATAACTCCCCTCCACCCAGTTCCCACCCCACCCTCCGCCCTCACTCCCCACCCATTGTCCTCATCCATAGGTGCACAATTATTGTCCAATCTCTTCCTTCACCCCCACTCCCCTTCCCCCCCCCCAAGAGTAGTCAGTTCATTCCCTTTCTATGTCCCTGATTCTATTACAATCAACAGTTCATACTGTTCATCAGATTATTTATTCACTTGACTTTTAGATTCACTTGTTGATAGATGTGTATTTGTTGTTCATCATTTGTATCTTTACCTTTTTCTTCTTCTTCCTCTTCTTAAAGGATACCTTTCAGCATTTCATATAATACTGGTTTGGTGGTGATGAACTCCTTTAGCTTTTTCTTATCTGTGAAGCTCTTTATCTGGCCTTCACTTCTGAATGATAGCTTTGCTGGATAAAGTAATCTTGGTTGTAGGTTCTTGGTATTCATCACTTTGAATATTTCTTGCCACTCCCTTCTGGCCTGCAAAGTTTCTGTTGAGAAATCAGCTGACAGTCGTATGGGTACTCCCTTGTAGGTAACTGACTGTTTTTCTCTTGCCTTTAAGATTCTCTCTTTGTCTTTTGCTCTTGGCATTTTAATTATGGTGTGTCTTGGTGTGGTCCTCTTTGGATTCCTTTTGTTTGGGGTTCTCTGCACTTCCTGGACTTGTAAGTCTATTTCTTTCACCAGGTATGGGAAGTTTTCTGTCATTATTTCTTCAAATAGGTTTTCAATATCTTGCTCTCTCTCTTCTTCTGGCACCCCTATAATTAGGATGTTGGTATGCTTGAAGCTGTCCCAGAGGCTCCTTACACTATCTTCATATTTTGGGATTCTTTTTTCATTTTGCTTTTCCAGTTGGGTGTTTTTTGCTTCTTTGTATTTCAAATCTTTGACTTGATTCTTGTGATCCTCTGGTCTACTGTTGGGAGTCTGTATAATATTCTTTATTTCAGTCAGTGTATGCTTAATTTCTAGTTGGTTCTTTATCACATCATCGAGGGTTTCACCAGTCTTCTTGAAGATCTCACTACATTTATCAGTGGTCTCACCAGTCTTCTTGAAGATCTCACTACACTTATCGGCAGTCTCACCAGTCTTTTCGAGAGCCTTATTAAATTTATCAGCGGCTTCTAGATAGTTCTTTAAAGACCTTAAAAGTGTGGTTTTAAACTCTATATCCAGCAGTCTGCTTTCCTCCAATTCTGTCGTTTGTGTCCTGTTTCTTTGTCTCGGCATTTTTTATGCTTCGTTGTGTCGATAGAGTGCCTTTCTGTGCTAAGCGTCCCAATTTCCTGAGGAAGACACTCTTGGTGCACCCCCTTGTGGGCTTTGTGCACAGTCTTGTTGTAATTAAGCCTTGATTGTTGTAGTTATCACTGTGAGGAATTGACCTCCAGGCCAACTGGCTGTGAGAATCAGCTGTGTCTGGCAGTGGGAGAACTTCTGTGCTGGAGACACCCCTCTGGGGCTAGACTTGCTTCGGTGGGGCTTTGGTGCTCACTGAGTCTGCCCCCTGAGTGTGTTTTTTATGGTTCCATGGAGCTGCAAACTGGATGGTCCCACTCTGACCTCTGGGCTTCCTGGCTCCTGGATCTCTAGGGAGGTGCTAATCTAGCCTTTGCCTGAGGCTATCCAGCAAAAGTCTCCCTGCAGGGCTTGGGTGGGGCGGGTCCCACGGGATCAATAGGGCGGGGTTAGCAATTATGGCTGCTCTCAGTCTTGCCCTCAGAGGCTCTGCTTCTCAGTGTCCCAGTAATTGCTGCAAGCCCCACAGAGAGAAAGCTGCTCTAGGGTTCTGAGTCATGCCAGACAGTCCCGCTTCTCCCATATGAGTCTGGGTCCCTAGAGACTCGCCCGTAACTGGAGCTCAGAGCCTGAGACTCCCTCCCGATTGAAAACAACAACCGCGCCCTCAGCCGCCAGCCCGCTCCACATGCACTCAGCACCTTAGTATTTTACTTCAGCACTGTGCCTCCTCTGGGTTTTGGTATGTTTTTCTCTTTCCTCCTAGTTGTAGAACTTCCACTCAGCCAGCCTTCCTGTGGTTCTGGATGATGTCCATTCCGTCTTTTAGTTGTATTTTTGAAGTGGTTGTTCGAGGCATCTAACTCCGGTGTTTACCTATGCCGCCTTCTTGGTTTCTCCCCGAACATTCTTTTGCCCATGATTTTCAGCTGGCAGGAGTACCCTTCTGAGCAGAAGTAAATTTGCCTTGCGGATCCAGTTTTGAGTGTTTGTCTCCTGCGAGATTGTTGAGAACATTTCTAACATAAGCAGCCCAATTCAGGGTCTAATAATCTCAATTAAATATATATCTCCCACATCTCCTTCAGAGTAAAATGTGTTAAATCGTAGTCTATATGACAACTTATGCTACCACTACCACCAACCAGACCAGAATCACTCTCAAGTCTCTACAGATTTTTATTCATAGAGGGGCCCTCAATTGCGCAGGGCAAAGTCTGTGCCATGAATAACACTCTTTGCTGCAAGGAGCTTTGCTAAAAGGAAGGCCTCATAGCCTCTTGCCCCAGAAGTCTGGGCACCAATTAAAGATATAATGACATCCTTATTAGCTAGCTCCCCTCCTCAGACCTTGGTTTATACTATTTTTTATTACTCAT